ATATATCTTTTCAGCCTGGCTATCTTATGTTAAGCCATTGACAAAAAGCAGCTTCTTTATTCATTAACCAATAAAAGCAACACATATACAGAAGGACTTCCTACACCAGTGTCCTGTCCCCAATTCTGAAGGAATCCTACTTCTCTAGTGTAGCCCTCATCAGTCAACAAACAGGTGAGTGACCCATCTGCCAGCTGGACTGCTTTCATTCCCTGAGTTCTGTTCCCCCAAGACCCACACTGCTGCCCAATCCTTCCCACCTCATCATACTTCCCATGGTCAACCTTTCTCAGAACTCTGGCAGACTCTATAGCCTCAGATACAGTCTAGAGTATCTAGAAGAACAGCCATAACAGCTCTACTGGAGGCCAGGCTGGTCCCAGGTACCCCAGAAGAAGACATAGACTTTACTGGAGACCAGGCCATATCTAGAGACCCAAGAAGACTTTGGTAACTCTTCAAGTCCAAAAGGGTGTCTCTGCTAGGAAATTTGGGGCCTCAAAATTCCTAGCAGAGGGGGCTGGAGAGATGGCTCAGTGGTTAAGAGCATTACCTGCTCTTCCAAAGGTCCTGAGTTCAATTCCCAGCAACCACATGGTGGCTCACAACCATCAGGAATGAGGTCTGGTGCTCTCTTCTGGCCTACAGACATACACACAGACAGAATATTGTATACATAATAAATAAATATAAAAAAATTCCTAGCAGAGATACTCTATTGGACTTGAAGACTTACCAATCACCAGAACCCTTGACCACTTAGGTCAGAAGATGAGAGAAAACAGAAATCAAGGAACAAAGCACCCATCTAACAAAGACAAACACAGGAATCAATACCTAGACCTATAATCATTTCAGAACACAATCAATAACAGAAAAGGCAATATGCCACCACCAGAACCCTGCTACCCTATGACAAGAAGACCTGAATATTCCAACACAGCTAAAGCATAAAAATAACCATTAAAATAACTTTATGAAGATTATAGAGGTTCTTAAAGAGAGAATAGAAAAAATTGAGAGAAACTGAGAAAAAGACAAGCAAAAAATTGGAAGAAATTGATAAATCTCTTAAAGAATGTCAAAAAAGCCAAGGGGAGGAGGGACAAATAGACGGTTTCCAGAAACAAATAAAACTGTCCAAGAGCTGAAAATGAAAATAGAACAATAAAGAAAACAAAAACTGAAGTGGAAAGTCTGGGTAAGCAAACAGAACTACAGATGCAAGCATCACAAACAGAATAGAATACAAAAAATGGAAGAAATAATCTCGGGTGTTGAAGGTATGACAGAGGAAATAGTTTCATCACTCAAAGAAAATGTTAAATCTAAAATGTTCCTAACAAAACATTCAGAAAATCTGGAAAATTATGAAAAGACCAAACCTAAAAATAATAGAAATACAAGAAGAAGAATCTCTGCTCAAAGGCCCAGAAAATATAGTCAATAAAATAGAAGAAAAATGTCCCAACCTAAAGAAGGGCATGCATATAAAGGTACACAAAGCCATGAAGCTTACAGAACACTAAATAGACTAGACAAAAAAAAAATCCTCTCACCACATAATAATCAAAATACTAAACACACAGAATTAAAAAAAAAAAAAAAGAATAGTAAGAGTTGCAAAGGGAAAAGGCCAAATAACAAAGGTAAGCTTATCAGAATTAGATTCAACTTCTCAGTGGAAACACTGAAGGCTAGAAGAACCTGGAGAGAACTCTTACAGGCTCTAAGGGACCATGGATGCCAGCCAAGAGAATTAGACTCAGGAAAACCTTTGATGACCATAGATGGAGAAAACAAAATGACAAAGTCAAATTTAATTAACATCTATCCACAAATCCAGGCCTACAGAAAGTATTAGAAGGAAAATTTCAACTCAAGGATGTTAGCTACACCCATGAAAATACAGGAAATAAATAAGCCTACATAAGCAAAACCCAAAGAAGAGAAACACACACATATGCACAAACACCACCATCACCAACAAAGCAGCAGCAACAACAATAAACAAAATAATAGAATTTAACAATCACTGGTCATTGGTATTTCTCAATATTAATGGACTCAATTTTCCAATTAAAAGACATAAACTAACAGAATGGATACCAAAACAGGATCCATCCTTCCCTTGCATACAAGAAACACACCTCAACATCTAAGACAAACATTACCTCAGAATAAAGAGTTGGAAAAATATTTTCCAATCAAATGGACCTAAGAAGCAAACAGGTGTAGCTCTCCTAATATCTAAAAAAATAGACTTCAAACTAAAATTAATTAAAAGAAGTAGAGAAGGATGTTTCATATTCATCAAAGAACAAATCCACCAAGGTGATGTCTCAGTTTTGAACATCTATGCCCCAAATACACCCATATTTGTAAAAGAAATATTAAAAATGCTTACATCAAACATCTGATTCCACACATTAACAGAGAGAGATTTCAACACCCCATTCTCACCAAGGGACAGGTCATTCAGACAGAAACTAAACAGAGAAATTACGGAATTAACAGATGTTATAACTCAAATGGACCTAACAAATATCTATAGAAAATTTCACCCCAACACCAAAGAATATACTGTCTTTCAACATCGCATAGAACCTTCTCCAAAACTGACCACTTACTTGATCACAAAGCAAGTCTTAACACATACAAAAATGCTGGAATAACTACCTGTATCTTATGAGATCACCATGGGTTAAAGTTGGATTTCAACAACAACACAAATTTCAAGAAGGCTACAAATTCAAGGAACTGGAGAAACTCTCAAATGAATTACTACTGGGTCAAGGAAGAAATAAAAAAAAAAAAAAAGAAATCAAAGGCTGCCTAGAATTCAATGAAAATGAACGCACAACATACCCAAACTTATGGGACACAATGAAATAAGTGCTGAGGAAAGTTGCTAGCCCTGAGTGCATGCATAAAGAATCTGAAGAAATCTCATACTATCAAAATAAAGCACACCAGAAATCTCTCGAATAAAAAGAAGCAAACTTACCCAAGAGGAGTGGATGGAAATAATCAAAGTAAAGGATGAAAACAA